CGGGGAGGAGCGGGGCAGGGTGGGGAAAGTACCCCGCTCCTCCCCGCGCCCGACCGGCCCGACGATTTTTGTTCTTCTCCTTCCGGTCTAGCCGAGCCCGGGAGTAACCTATTGTGCCACCGCGGATGCACCCCCTACCCCTCCTGTGAGGTGGCCGCCCGAACAACCGGTACCTACAACCGGAATGTGCTTCATACGAATTTTCATCTTTGCAGGCCATGTGTAGGTGGACTGCAACCATGGGACTCACAGTGTATCTGCGGGATTCCGACAAGGCTGGACTCCTCGTAAGGATGTGCATGGCTCTTCCACTCTTGCCCGCCGAAAGAATTCGGGATGCATTTCAAGAAATTCGGAACTATGCACAAGCTGCTCGAGACGAAACTTTGTACCCCACTATGGAGCCTTTCCTTGACTATGTGCTACAAACTTGGATTGATGGTAATTGCTTAACTTTGATTTTGTGTCCATCCTATATCCGTCCTTTCACTCCATGAGTTGACTCTTGCAGTCTCTCACAGATTTCCTCCTTTCCACTATCACACTTTCCTTTGCATGTTTTAAACCCGACTGTGTACATAGTGTGTACTTGAAAGCACAAACAAGGAAGAGTGTGCCTGGTATGGCAACACTAGGGAGTGTGTACCGGGTGATTCAGAGCACGCGCCGCCGTGTTGCGGGTTTGCCTATCCTCGACTCGGCGGGCGCACGGGTGAGAGGTCAGGAGGAGAGGGGTCCCCTCCTCACCTCTCACCCGTGCGCCGCCCGCCGAGTCGAGGATAGGCAAACCCGCCACACGGCGGCGCGTGCTCTGAATCACCCGGTACATGCGTGGCACACACTTCGTAGCGTGTACGCGCCTCATAGCATAGCGCTATGGTAAGTACACACGTCAAACTGTGTGCCACGCATGTACACACTCCCTAGTGTTGCCATATGCCAGGCACACTCTTCCTTGTGTGTGCTTTCAAGTACACACAAGGGAGTGTGTACTATGTACACAGTTGGGTTTCAAGTGCAGGGCATGAGCCCTTTTCCATTGAGTCGATGTCACAGAAATTTGAGATAGAGGGAGTGAAAACCGGTGTTCGACTTTTTTCTGAGAATCAAATTTAGTGTGTCTGATGAAATTTCTCCCTTTATCGCATTACAGATATTGGACCGGAACACATCAGTGTGTACCGGCGCCGGCGGAGAACTAATAATGACCAAGAAAGTTATCACAAGACGCTGGTTGACACCCTTGGCAGCCCGCATGGAAACCCGTGGGTGTGGATGGGTATGTACGGTCCGAGCGAGTAGGCAACCCACCTGCGCTTGTGCGTGCGGTACAGCATATTCACAGACGTGAACGGGATTAAACGGCCACTTGGTACAGTTACTATCACGATGAAAGACTTATATTTGTTTTTTCTTCTTTTAGACAAGTTTCGCGAACACGAGCAGCGGCACAGAGTGCGTCACTTGCAGGCCTCTCGCGGTAATGGTCCTGGCCGCCCGCGGAGGAAGCAGTACGTTCTCCTCGACAGAAGGGTGGAGAACGCCACTCGGCGCCTGGAGAGGGGAGCCATCTCCAGTGTGGAGTTCCTCAAGATATGCAGTTACTTGTGCAAGACTACTTACAACAGGGTGGCTCTGCGCAAGAAACGAGCACTCCGAGCCGGGGAGGCTGGGGAGCTGCTGCCGGAAGTGGCGCACGCCATCCCTGAGGAGGAGATGGGGCCACCGCCTCCACTCCCTGCAGGCGTCGTGGACGCCCTGGATGTGCTAGAACCTGTTCCGGACTCGTCGGAGGAGGAGGAGGACGACCGTGAAGAGGAGCTGTACAACCCCTTCAACGGAGACCGAGCAGCAGCCCAGGGTGCGCGAGGCCGGGGCCGTGGTAGAGCAGCTGCTCGTCGAAGAGAAAGGGCCATAGCTGCTAATGAAGCTCGCGGAAGAGGACGTGGCGGCCAAGCAGCACAGGCACGAGGCCAGGCAAGAGCAAGAGGGCGTGGGCGTGGCCGCCGAGCACGCGGTCGAGGGGCAAGGGGACGCGGAGGCCAAGCAGCGCCAGCGCCCGCAGCACCGGCACGAGGCCGTGATCAAGCACCCCGAGCTCGAGCCGGAGCAGCACCAGCACGAGGCCGTGATCAAGCACCCCGAGCAAGAGCAGCAGCGGCAAGAGGCGGTGGAGGCCCTGCCCAACGCGAGGGGGCAGTGCTGCGTGCTCGGAGAGTTGTAGGAGGTGAGTTGAAATGGACAGCCATTGGTGGACCATTTTGCCATGCCGACAGTCAGAGCAGAGTTGTTTAATCTAAACCGTAGATTAAAAATCACTCATTTTTACTGCTGTACTGTTTACAGAATTCGCGGAGCCCCCGGATCAGCCTCCAGTTCAGCCCGCGCCTCTCGAGCAGCCCATTGCACGGGCCAGGCGGGCCCCACGGGATTGGGACGATCCCGTATTCGTACTGGAGGAGGACGCGTTCATTGAGGGGCTGCGAAGCAGGACGCCGTCGCCGGCAAGAGCAGTTCGAATTCTAGTCCCGGCAGCCCCGGCGGCAGCCCCGGCGGCAGCCCCGGTAGCTCCGGTAGCCCCGGCCGCACCTGGAGAACCCGGCCCTGGACACTTCCAGTGCCTTGACTGCAGGGAATGGCGGGCTAATTGGGCGCTATCACCATGTGGCCATGTAGCCTGGTGCGAGGAGTGTAATGCGCGGGCCTTGGCACGCAACTCGCCCTGCCCGATGGGTTGTGACATCACAAGTCGGCTGCGGCTCTATTATTAGACATGTTCTATTGTGACTGCTGGGGTCTTTGATCTCTTAACAATTTTGTATACACTGTATGTACTTGTATATTAGTTTTCATTTTGTATTATATTGAGCATGTTTCTTGGGAAATTAATCTCCATATTTGCTAGTTTTGTTAAATTCCTTGTAGTACCAATTAAACAGCGAATTTAAACTCCACTTTCTTTTTGATGATACCGTATTGTGAAACTGCCCATAACATTTGATGAGAAGGAGTATTGAATCATACCCTGAAAACTGATGCGATAAAGAAAAGGTAAAAAGTACACGATTGACATACATTTCAGGTGAAAGTTTAATGAACACAATTTAATGCGAATCCAATGTACATACTGACACAACAGGTACACATTAAAATAAAATTAAAAATTCTTTCAGACAATACAGGAGACATAAATACACAAGGAAATAACGGTTCAAACAATCATTTTTAAAAAGAGTTGTCAACGAAACTGTTGCATAAGAAACAAGATTGATCATCCTTCATGATTTCTTTACTATCGTTAAAAGTTTATTTAACAGGTCTTCCTTGACATTTTCACTTCCCCATACAATACTTCCATATGAAATAAACAAATGATGCAGCCCATTTACACTAAGTGGACATTGTAAAAAAAAAAAAGCTTTCGGTATCAGCTATTTCTCAATAAAAAAAGAATGTCTTTAACCATGGAAATTGGCTAACAATCAGTACAGGGGTCACTAAATTAGATTAAAAGGCATCTCACAATAGCAATTAACAAAATAAGCAGAGACTCACTGAAATAAAAATTAAACAGATGAAATAAGCAATGTCAATTTTATCATGAAGGCAGCTTTTCAAGATAGACTTTGGGTCAAAGAAAAGCTGCTTACAATGACACATTAAATAAGACATAAAAATACAGCTTTTAAGCCAAACTGCTTGCTACTGACTTACTTCTAAACTAATATACAAGACAGAAGGTGGGCTGCAAACCTCACATAATCTAATAAAAACAGTGGTCACATAAATGCAGATGACAAGAAATTTGTATTCAAACAATAACGCAAATGCAGATAAACAAATTCTTTCTTTCAAGAGAAATGGAAATTATTTGTAAGCTCACTAAACTGAGAGATCAAACAGATCACAAGAACACTGCTTTTAAATTATCTAATCACAAACAGAT